CAGTATTGCAGTATTGAAAATGTGTATATATACATCAGAAGAATTATTATTTAATTTAGAACTACAATCATTTCAGCTTATTATTACAAACCTTTATTGTTGTATGTATATGTGGTTTCTCCTTTTGCAGAATATCAAAATAATCGTTTCTAAAGTTACATAACCTGTTCTATATATAATCTCTACGGATAAATGGGTTTAAAAATAAACGTAATTTTTTGGAAGGAACACGTTGGACAATCATCATTTAACAATAACTGATCGTCGCATTGATATCTAAAAAATATTGTTAATTGCATTGAAACTTTCGAATTGGTAATGATTCAAAGATTTATAGAAGTTGTCAACCAAAAAAAGTCACAAATCACTTCGCACATCAATGGATCTATCTGGTAAGAATTGTTGGCAAAGCTGCATAATTATATATAGATATTGGGTGCGTAATGATCAATCATTCATTTAAGTTTTTGAGCGAATAATACTAAAATTTGCAGGTGATTTGCAAGGTGCATCTAGACATGATTGATCGAAAGTATTTCTGCGAGTGCTACAAATTAAACAAAAATATATAGATATTTGGTGCGCAATGATCAATCATTCAAGTTTTGAGCGAATAATACTAAAATTTGCTGGTGATCTGCAAGGTGCGTCTGGACTTGATAGATCGGAAGTGACACCCCCAAAGGTACTGGTCAGATGATAAGACGCCACAACCACTACATACTTTCTTAAAAAATGGTTGAATCGCTAGGGTGATCATCAAACTAATCAAATCATAAGTAGCCAACATATAACTAAATTACTATTTGAAAATTTTTATGAAAATTAGAATTTACTGCGGATAATAGTAACTTTCGGTACACTTGTCTTTTGAACTAACATAATAATCGCTAGTCAATTTTTTGTGAGCGACATATTAACTCACTTATAATAGTGTAACAACGGCATTTTTTCGATCTATTCTATTTATGAATAGTTAATTCTTTAATAAAGTAGACAGGCTTTACCCAACTTTAACAACTATGAATCAATTAAAATCCATAAACAGAGATTGTTATCAAAAAGAGAGAAATAAAAGCTACAATTTAAAAAAAAAAAAATAATATAAAAATCTTAAAATAATTTGTTCAATACATAGTAAATTTTATATGTACGGCTATTATAGTTTGATTTATTAGTTTGATGATCACCCTAATAAGTCATGCCCTTTCATCCATCAACAAACTATTAATGTTAAATGCAGTAACGGTAATGGTAATTAATGAGATTAATGGAAGATACACTACAATTATTAACAAAACAAATATCAGCACTTTATTCTTCACCGAAACTTGAATCTTTTTACCTGGAATACTTTACGCGTAAAGCTAAGAATGCTAAATTAGAAGAGAATGCACCAGAAGTTGTCAAAAAAGTATTTTAAGATTGTATTGGTGTTAAGCTTTTTGGTTTGTGAAATAATAATTTGTTTTAAATGGAATAGGTCGAAAAAGTATGCAATGAATTAGGTATAAGAAATGTTTCAAGATTTTATAAAGTAGAAGAAGATTATTATGAATGGGAACTTCAGAGACGTGCGTGAGTAAACTAGTTATAAATAATGAATGATTTTTTTGTTTAAATAACCATTATTCTTTTTACAAGGTTTCGATTAGTTGCGCCATCAATTGATCATCTTTGTAAAAGTGTCATCTTTGAGAATACAAGATGCATACATGATAATATTGATGGTAAGGAATGCATAGAAAATTGATAGAATAAATTGATATTCTAAGCTCATTCTTTAACATATTACAGATCCGTTAAATTCAAGATATTATTGTGTAGTCGTTCAGGTGAATAATATTTTTTATTCTTTCACATTTTCAGACAAGCCATTAATAAATCTTGAAATATTTTAACAGTATATTGGGTCCATTAATACACAAAAATTAATGAATTTTGTTCGCGGATTAAAGAATAAATCCATTAGCAAAAAGAATTATAATTTTCGCGTCGCAGACGCAGAGGTATATTTGAAATTTAAAATTCAAATTGACATATAATATATTGAATTATTCGATCATCTAGAAATCGATTGAATTGACCGGATTTGAAAATAATGGGGTGTCACCTATTGGTAAGTGTCATTATTAATTAACTATATTCCTACATTATTATGTTATTATTAATCTTATAATTTTTTAATTTCATTCTTAGGTATGAACCAAAAACTCCCAATAATTATTGCCAAATCTATAACTGAATTGAAACCCGCAGTATTTTATCTTGGTGCTGGACATGTGAATTGGAAATTAGCTTTACCTACAAAAAACTTTATTGATGCAACAAGATGCCTGATAGCCGATTTAGCATAGGAGGTAACCTAAATACGCGTCAGAATTTTGTTATGAATGCTGAAATTATGTAATTTGAATTCCTTATAATAAAAATGATCCGACACATCATATTCGTTCAGTTAGTGATTGACTAGCTGATTAATTGAAACGTTATCAAAAGTTTAGGGACTGATTGCAAACCAACTCATCAATTAATCGACCATTTTAAAACAAAAGATATATCTATTGCCTTAATACAATCAAAAGTAATTTTTTTTTTACGATTTAATTAATTATATAAATACAACCAATCGTAATCAGTTGTTGACGTCACCGATTATAGTTGACCCATCGATTCAGGTCACTAGTTTAATTTTCTGACAAAAAACTTTTTCATTCCATTCCGTCAAAAGCGTCTATAGTTTTAGTCACCATGATTAACATTTCTAACAAAGAGTTTACAGAAACTCGTAACATCTTTACACTTGAACAATTAAACTGCCTATAAATTAAAAAAAGAAAAAAAACTTTGGTAAGACTTAAAGTTGTTGAAATAACATAATTTTGTACTTACACGATAAGATCAGTATCATTTGTGCTAATAATTCTTTTAACTTGATCACTTTTTAGTTCCTTATCAACATTTAAGACTGATTGCGCTATTGTTGCAAGGCGTGGAGTTGGAAAAGGGATAGTAAGGATCCTGAACAACAAAAAAATTTTGCTTTAAAAAATTATATTTGACTAGACAAAAAAGGATTATGAATTAAAACTTGCATAGAATGATCGAGTGTTTGTACCGACATGTTAACACTGGAATATGCAAAGATTAAAGGTCTGGAATTTCAGGATCGTAAAACTTGGTACAATCACATGACCATCAACCAATCAACACTGGCCTTTAGTGACATTAAACAAAAACTAAGCGTCGGTTTTGGACATTCTATTCCCGGATAAGAAATGGTTACACTGCAAAACCATTGTTTTTGATTCATAGTAACCTTTAAGCAAATCTTACAAAATATTACGTAATATCCTTAAGGGATTATAATCATTATTTCTTAATTACATCGATATATAGAATCGAAGTATTCCATATTTGAGAATATGGCTATATACGTACGTACGTACGTAGCTTATACGTAATCTGTAATGATAATTGATAAGTATTATTATTATATATATATATAGTAAATAAATTTATATCTCGTATACAATATGCATTAGATAACGAGTTGCCAATGTTATATTCTTGAATGCATTAACAAGGTAATTTTGAATGCGCCAAAATACACTTTAATAATTACGTACGTGAGTTAATTATAAACAATTTTGATACGTAGTATTTTTTGATAACGAATTACGTAGTACGTAAAAGATTTAACATTAACTTATAAAATATAAATTAGTATAACAAATAATCGCCGGAAGATACTCCATTTAGTGATCAACGAAGCTGATCAAACTCCTGACTCCTGTAACTATTACATACCCTGATATGGATTTATTTGACTGAATGTTGGTTTAGCAATCTACTGTGCTAAACATTAAACCTTTATTTCGTTAATTCGCGAAATATAAATAATGATAAATTTTTGAAGTACAAGAATTATCAATTCATATCTTTTAATTCCTGGAATTTTTGTTTCACATGTAGTTGGATTTGATATGAGAATACACATGCGTTGCAAAATTCTTTGTTCATTCGTGCCGCATGTTCCAATTTCAGGTCTTGGTAACGTGATAGTAACGTGATACCGTGACGAGACTAGGTGCACGAATATGTCGTGCGAATTTAAAACTCAGCCTGAGCTGTGAATGAAAAAAAAAGTTTACCAGCTTTCTAAATCAATTCATTAATAATGGCAACCACCAAAACAAAAATCGCTGACGATGCCGGCTCAAATAATTGGTTAAAGGAAAGAGCTGCCATATGTAAGTTTAAAAAATAAATAACGGTGTTATTCTGTTTTAATGTCACGTTAAACATTTGAAATTTTCTAGTTAAACGCGAAGTTTTTAAATTGATTTCATCTATTCTGGCGGAAAATTTTTATTCAATGACTAGCTGCTGCTCATAGACGTCAAAAAACTGACCCTGCGGTTGCCCGTCTCATTGAAAAGGCCGATCAATTACACAAGGAACGTACACAGAAACATTTACAAGAGGAAACCATTGATGATGAGGCCAACGATGAAGTTCCTGAACCTAATGCTGAAATTAAAACCCCTCGTAAAATGAAGAACTCGTTTCGTCGAAGCTTGTTACCTTCACCGCTTAATTATTCGAAGTCAGCTGAAGAAGACGAGGAAGAAGATATTGATGCCATTGTTAGCGTTCCTCCACCTGAGGAAATAGTTGTAAAAGGTATGTATGAAATTCTTTCCAATTGCTCTTTTTTATTTATCATTTATTGGTAATAATACAATTAAATGTTTTCCTTTCACTTCTACAACGAAGTCGCTCCAAAATCTGTTGAAGAAACACCTGTATCCAACCATACTAAAGAATCCACAGAAGAAATATTACGTTCATTTGCTGAGTCAGTTCTTGAGCAGGGACTAACAACTGATTCCTCATTAGAACTATCTTTCGATTTAAAACCAGAGGATATTAAAGTACCGGATGATGAGGACGATGAATTCGAGGATTACGATGAAGATCAAGATGGTATAATCTCTATATTATAATAAATAATTTGGTTTTTTTCTGAAACTAAAAAGGATAAATCTTGAATTGTGTTTCAACTATTTATTAAAAAGAGCAAGAGAATACAGAACAAGAAACTGAAGAACAGGAGAATACAGAACAAGAAAATGCTGAACATGAGAGTACTGAATTGGAGGTGCATGAGAGTGCTGAGTTAGTGTGTGCTGAGCAAGAAAGTGTTGAACAAGAAAATATGGATCAAGAAAGTGTAGAGCAAGAAAGTACAGATCAAGAAAGTACAGTCATGGTAACTTATGAAGAATCAAATGCATCGAATATGGATGAGGCTCAAAATCTTGAATTCGAAACAATTGAAAAAGATGAAATAACGGACTGAATCTTATAAGAAACATAAACTAAGGCCACACAAATTTAATATCTTGGTTTTCATAACATGAAACTTTTAAACAGACCCGACCGGCCGGCCGGCTTTTTTTTTAAATTTCATATATAAAATTTTTTTAAAAAATTTTTTAAAAACCTATCCGGTTATTAAAACATATAAAAAAATTTTTTTACGAGTTTTCAAATTTTGACCCGGCCGGGTTATGAAAACCAATTAGTTAATTTTGCATGACCAAATTCACTTGTTCATTATTTATTTGTATTTTTTGGGGAAGAGGGTTTTTTGTATTAATCAATTTCTTCTTTATTCGGAAGGTATTATAGAAGTTTGATCTGTTTCAAAATAATCTTGACTGGTTAATAACCGATCAAACGTACTATATTTAAGTATATATCAGTACATTGTTATTAAAATAATTTAAACCTTATTGTAAACAAGAATTATATAATTTTTTTAAATAAATTTGAATAACGTTATTAACTATTTTTTTTTTTTTTTGAGAACTATAATTTTTGTTTTTATTAAAGAAATAATGTTACCAATCTTTTTTTTTGGTTTTGTAACAAAGATGTTTACTATATCAATCAAACCAATTTTTCTAGCAAAGATGTTTACTATATCAATCAAACCAATTTTTTCTAGCAAAGATTTTTTGCATCTTTTTTTTTTTTTGAATATATATACAGTCAGGTCCCCGTTGTAATCGCTCTTGATATAGTCACAACCTCGGTATAGTTACACTATTTGTTAGTGACTTTTATTAACCATACAAAATTGATTTTCGTATAGTCACAACTTTTAAAATAACCAGATTTTATTCTTCAACTTGATTGAGATCTGACTATGTATATTATATAATTTAAAATACGATTATTATAAATCGCACCAGTAGTGTTGAACACCATATAATTTTTTTATTATAATTTTGTTATCATATTTAAGGTTAGAGTTAAATTAGGATAAAATTAGAAGCTATAGACTAAAAAATAAAGCTAAAAATAAAGTTTGGATAAGGTTTTTTGTGATGCTGAATATTTTTACTTATATATTCAGCCTTGGTTATTTAGACAGTTTTGAGATATAGCAATTGTAGTATTAAAATTACTGGTATAATTTAATATTACCATTTAAAATATATATTATTTTGGGGATTTCTATTTGTACCCGGTGGGTATGATACCCGGTATAAGAAAAAAAAAATCAAAAATCGATAATATCTCAAAATTTTATTAAGAAAACCATATGTAGGCACTTAATTTTACATATAAATACATCATTAATTCTAATCTATTCTAACTTACCCTAACCTAACAGTCACAAAACATGTTCTTAAACCAGGGTTCTATTGTTGTTACTATAGATTAAATGAGTTGACATACTAAATTTTATATATAAATTTTTATAAAAAAATCACTAAAATTTAATTTATTTAAAAAAATACATATATTACAACTCTTTCTGACAATCTTCTGATCAACAACTTCAAAAAACTGAATTACAGAAAATGTTATAGAAGATACCAAAGTTACTTAATAAACTTGGTCCTATATAAGTAGGTATGTTGTTAATAAAGTACCAAGAGTATAAACTGAGAAGCAGATTATTTGTTATAGTTTTTGTAGAGGTCAAGCTTGCTGCTTTAGTAGACTTTTTTTCATATTCAACATTCAAATCAGAAGAATATTCTAGAAATACAAAATGACAAGGTTGATGTGAAGAATATTAAAGATTTTTGGCTATCAATATACAACTGTAAAACTTATAAGAAGCATTACAGAAAAGCTTCATTAATTTATTATTTTTTTTCAAGAAAATTTTGTTAAAAAGTAGGTGTTTTAATTTACCTTCTCCAAAAAATTAATATATAAATTTCTAAAACAATTATTATTGTTGATTTTCCTATATGAATATTTACATTATTTGTTTACTTTGTAAATCAGTAGACTGTAAACAGTTATTTAGAATACAAGATATTATGCGAGTAGGTAGGAAAAATAAGTAACTAAGACAACATAATAGTGCCATGTTTTGATTTTTATAAACTGTTTAACAATATTTCAAGATTACCTTAAATTACTTTGTTTAGTTTTTTTAGTTTAGTTTTTAATTTTTTTTTCTTTATAGGTTTTTTGATATAAATACATATACTGTATTATTAGGATAAAGTTAGATACAAAGCTTCTTTATCTTATAATATATAATTTTTTAAAACTTAATATAGGCTTATAATTATAATTTATCAAATTTTTTTTATTTTATTTATTTTTATACTTTTTTAGTATTAGTTTTAATATTAATATTTATTTTTTTCACTTCTTTACAAAAAAATATCATCAAATTAGTAATATTCTATTGTAAGGTAGTGGTTTAATAGAGCCTTCTGGGATAGTTAAGTTTTTTTGAAACTTAGTATAATGTAACTCTTGTAGATTTATTTGCCTAATGCAGCCAATTACTTGTAAGTGCTTTTAAAAATAACTGCAAGATATTAAATCTAAATATTATAATCATATAAAGTACTTTTTGTTTACTGACAAATTATTTATAATAAAGATATTAGCAAGATGGCTAAAGTAAAAAAAAAAATAACAACTTTTTCTAATAATTCTTTAATCAACAACAAAACAAACTGAACTATAAAAAACATTATAAGAAAACAACAAAGCAGATATGTTGATACTCTTAATTAATATAAACAAACTTGTTGTTGACAAAGCTACTAGATATGTAAAACACTAAGAGTAGATATATAATAACAAGCAAGTTGTGCCTTTGGGTCAAGCTTTTTACTGTAGTAGACTTTCTCGCACTTTTAGCATTCAAACCAGAAGGATTATTTTAAAAGCAATATCTCTGTAGATTCTTAATCAAGAATATCTAGTAAAAACAGAGGAACTATACTATACAATTGTAAAACTTACAAAAAGAACTTTATATACTCTTATTGGCCTATCACTTTTTTTTAAAAAATTTTTGTAAAAAATAGGTGATTTAATTTATCCTCTCCAAAAGACAACATCATGTATACCAAAATAGTTAGTATTGTTTATTTTCTAAATTGGCATAACAGGACAATAAATATGTTAAGATATATGCTTTGAATATAACAAGCTGATCAAACAATACTTTAAAACTAATCTGGTTTAAATATCAACCCTCTACCTAATCTGGTCAAAGAAGTGTTTATCCAAGGGTAACTCTCAAAAGTCTGGATCAGCTGTTCCATGCCATAGCCACTGCATAATTTCTTAGAAAATTATTGAATCATTTAGCTTCTGCATGCAGCTTTATTGTTGTAAAAATTTCTTAAACATGTATATACATATGTATGTACTACTGTTATTAAGATATAGCTGTGGCATGTAGATCACCTGATCTGGACTTTTGAGATTCATTCTGGCAAACTCTTTATATAATGATATTTTAACTTAGATATATTAAATAGATTTTTTTTTTTTATATACCTTCACAATGTCGTGGAAGGGTGGATTTTTATTAAATATTTTAGTAGTATATTCTTAGTTAGTGAGAGTATATATAGTTACATATACAACTTTTGGTTGTCTAATTTAAGTAGTCCACCCGAAGGTTTTATACTATATACTATATCTGTAATCTAACTAGGAGATTACCTATTTAAACCCTCTGACGTCTCTGGTTCTGCACCATCATCACAATCACACCAATCCATAACCTCATACTGCTTCTTATTGAAGACCACTCAGATTGACATCTGCTATACTACTTATACCCTAATTCTATAGATAATCTAGTAGGATTCTCATACTACTGGCTTGTTTTAGGGAGGGTGTAGTATATACCCTCTAATCTTTT